GCCTTCGAGATCGGCTCGACGCAAAGTGGAGCAAGTCACTGCGAGAGGTTGGATACGATGTTGAAAGTTTAAAATTTTTCGCTAGAGCAAAACATGGACGTAACAAAGTAATCCCATCGGTTTTTTCGTACGATTTTCTAACGGAACCCACCCTGTCAATTTAAAACGTGACGAAATACACTCAAAAATTGACAGTTGAAGTAAAAAAGTTCATGTTTGCACTTTGAATATGTATTGCTTCACTGTGCGACGCTTCCTCCGCGGCAAACGGCAATCCATGAAGCCCCCGAATATCGAGGCACCGCTACATGAATAACTCAACGTGATGGTGCTTCTGCGTCATTCTCGGCCGCTTCCATAAATTTTAAGGGGCTTACATTCTACAGTCTTGCAGTTTCTATCGTATCACAACCTGGCAACATTCCGAATTATGATCAAACTCTCACTAACTGTGCCGAATTATCTAACACAATTGGGGTAGAAAGAAAATTGACCCATTTCGGCATGAACATAAATTTTGGAAGTTTATCCGTTTTAGGCAAAAGTTAAATCTTTTGCGTACCTAGATTGGCACGAAGCGGTGACCAATGCCTCGGAGGTACTAAAAGAGACGCTTTTTGCGCAAAATGTCCTCAACTTTTTCACAATATGCACCCGCGTCGCCGACCATGGTGAGCACGTAGTCTCATTGTCAGGCCTGATCAGTGGACATCTTCAATATCTATGGTTGCCGTGCTGTACATCTTTCGAGATACCTAAACTTTCCTTAACTTTCAAAAAATACGGTGTGCCGAATTGTACCATTGTAAACACCCTTTTCGGTACATGATGCCGGTGCGCGGTGTGTCGAAATGTCCCACTATTTTTGTACTGAAATTGGACGCGCCTGTTAGGTTAGGCCGGGTAGCTATTGATATTTTTTCAACTTTATCAAAGACCCATCTTAAAATCGGATGAATTGTAACAACATTTTTGGCGCTTTACACGCAGCAGCTACTCACAGTTGTATCTGCCCCTTAACATTGGATGGGTCATTGTGCTTCGATGGAAGAGGGCCGTGCTGCATTGCTACTGTGAGTTTAAGGAAAGCCAACGCGCCTTCAATTTATTGCTTACGCAAAAATGACAACTGTCGAACACGAATAGTTGCATCCTTAGGTTTTAACCTAACCTCGCCGAATCCTTACCCGCTCCGGACAGATGCTACTTTCTACCACTTTCCCGGGAACACATCGACCAGTCTGAAAGACAATTCAACAGTCAAACTACCAGACCATGTATCTCGGTTTGCGACGTTGCAAACTTCCTGTCGTTTTTTATTATTTAAATGGAAAACTATACTTGACGCCAATTCTGGGAAACCTTCATAATTTTTCATCGCATAGAAAACATAGCAGACGAAATACGTAAACAATACACTAACCTAAAATACCGATAAAAATACCTAGCTATTTTAATAATAAAAGAAAAAAATAATACTAATAAATAAAACTAAAAATTGAATCAGTGAGAACGAAAACGCACCAACTTGGTACCTCGAAAATGCTCTCTTTTCTCTCTTTCGGCTCTCTTTCAGGACTGACAATTTTCATAAAGGTCGAAGTTACCGTATCTGTGTCAACTTGGACATTTGAAGTTTCCTTAAATACTTGCTTTTAGCCACAAAAAATATTTTTCTTAGACTAACTTCTTTACCTAATATGCAGTTTTGTGTGTGTCTTGATTATTTTCATTTTTTCGAGTTTGAGTGTTTTCGTTCTCACTGATTCAATTATAGCAGTTGAAAGTTAAGAGAAGGTACATTTAAGGTATAACCAAGCAAACATACAGTTTGCTATGTTCGAAACTTTGAATTGAATGAATTTGAGGCAATTTTACGTCTTCTAATTACTTATAAAGAACTGAACTGTGCTCACTCTGAGCTTTGGAATAATTGATGACCTTTTTCGTCAAAAACTCAATTTTTCATTTTCGGACCACCCTAGACGTTAATAATTGGAAGTTTAGTTCTCCTGAAAAGTTTGCCTTAATCTTCTACGGTAACTTTCGTGTGGACAGTCATAAGTAATGAGCCATTTCTTTTTTTCGAAGAAACAACTTCTTCATTACCTGAAGTTCAATGCTGATTGAAGTTTCCTTTGAGACTAGAAAATTGGACCACACTCCGATGAAGGGACGTCACTGACTAATGTTAAATGTTGCGTTATTTAGAAATAAGTCTAGTTTGCGATAAGGTAGCGCTGCAGGGGGAGCGGGAGTGCAGGTAAAAAAAAAAAAAATGCGTTGGGCAGTAGATGAACAATCTCTAACAAGAAGTCATTCGAGATCAGTATTTCAATAGAAACCTCATTTAATTGAAAATTGTTCGGTTTGTAAGGTTCCAAATAAGTGCTTTTCGAGAGGCAACAAAGCTTGTAAACAACCGAGCACGATCAGTTCGCAGAAAAAGATGCAAAGGTTTCCACCGTCAATGAATGCTTTTCCGCGAATTAGCCCACAGAGTAAGTTCATTAAAGTTCAGGATCCGTTTGAGGCAATTTTTGAGCCGCTGTATTCCAGAAAAACCGTTGATACTGTGGGACTTCGGAACATTATTTTCTGATAAGAATTTCTGAGAGGGCTGCGGGGAAAACTTGGAAACTGTAAAGGAAAAATCCAGTGAGAATGAAATTTGCGAAGGTGATGGACCTTCCTAATGAGTAAAAAGCAGCGGTGTCTTCTCGTGAAATATAATCCATTTGATTTCATTTGGTTTCTCTGATCGAATGTCATGCTAATAGGTCAGTTGCGCTAGTCACAGAATCGTGTTTCGTTGCTCGATTCTTCTAGATCAGCTACATATAAACAGTAAGATCTGTCCAAACAACAACTCTCTACGTTCAATATTAAGCGAAATATCACGCCTTGACTCAGTCATTTTATGAAGTCATCCACTTAATTTTTTTGAAGCTTGATATCTCGGTTAATATTGAACGTAGAGAGTTGCAGTTTGGACAGATCTTCGAGCATCAAAACACGCTGTGATCTGCACAACCTGTTGATTCCTTTTCTGTCCGATGATTCTTACTGGAAGTCACAAAAACTTGGTATACGACGGCTTTTTTGGCTATTTTAGCCATCATCAGATGCATTGAAACGAAAACGAGAATGAAACGAAACTAAAGCTAAAAGCTGTATTGAACTTAGCACAGACGCGGCGCGGGGCTGCTTAGCGAGATTTAATGGGAAAAATCGCATTTTTGATCTGCACCGTGTATGTGATATGAAGATCAGCGTCGTTTTTAGCTTCAGTTCCGTTTCAATGTACCCGATATTGGCTAAAAGAGCCAAAATGGCCATTGTATCCAGATAGTTTTGTGACTACGATAAAAATCATAGGAGAAAAAAAGATAGGGATAGGTAAAGTCTATTTGATTGCCACCTACGGTTTTTTTTTTTTTTTTTTTTTTTTTTTTTTTTTTTTTTTTTTACTGTTTGGAAGTTTGAGTTAATCTATTTTCAATTATGAAACTTCTCACTTATTAGATACATTACGGAATGTTTAGTCAGGGTTGCACCAGAATTGAGAAAATGAAATTCTCTGACGTTCCCCTGATTTCCCTGACACATTTTGGTAAAACTCCCTGATTATTGAAGATATGCGAGCAAGATGGTCGAAAGGACATATTTTGAAATAGTTTTCGGGCAAAAGCTGTTAGAAACGTCAAACCCATTCTAGAAAGCAAGTAAAGGTGACTTAACAATTCATCCCTAACGCTTCCGCCATCTTCTCCGACATTTCCAAGTTTTTCCTGAATTTGCTCGATATCCCCTGATTGCGACAACCCGGTTTAGTGTGTTTCGCGTCTGCTCCTAGAAATTCCGATCGGAACATCCTGATGGTCCGTTGTAATTGGGTCACCAGAGCCGAATATTGGGATAGGGCACTCTCCGGGAGGCGTAAATTTCGCGTGGATCAAATTCGGCAAAGCTGGAGGCGGGAAGGGCCAAACTGGAGGTTAGAGGGGGGTGGNGGTGGGGGGGATGAGGGGCTACGGGCAACTCTTGACTGGTGCGGGCGTCGTCGTCGGGGAAGAAGAAACAAGATCGAAAAGACAAGATAAGGACGCGGAAGATCCTCCGCCGCGACTCGGGTCGGAGTTCAAGTTCCGAGAATGCTTTCACAATTACGAGCGCAGCGATCCAAATGAATCATTTTAACCTTTAATAATTACTAACCCGTAAAATAAAACAGCCAACTTTCAAACGTAATTACCGGACTCCCGGCTCCGGCGGGAGGGAGGGGGGCCCGGTACCCGTTACGAGCAGGAATGCTTAATGAAGCGAGTAAATTATTTTATTAAAACTTGTAACAAGTTTGACGCGGCGAGATAAACTCTTGACTCTTCCTCTCTCGCCGACCCCTCGATCCCCTCTCCACAAGCCCTCCCCCTCCCCCCGGTAACATCACTGTCACTTCCTTGAGCCGGTCTTCGAATCGCGAAATTCAACCCCTTGATCCTAGTCTTCCCGGGGTGGAGCACGTCTCCGAAGAGTGCTCCCAAATTTGCACCCGACTTAACTTTGAAAGCTCCCCGCATTTTTGCGCCGTCGGAACTTCGCCGAGCGCTCTCAGGTGGTTCGATTCGAGACTGCCTCTCTGCGCGTGACCATTGGAGACAATATATTTTAGAGGCCCTCCACTAAGAATCTCAGCAATGTAATCGAGGGATCCAAAGCAAAATGTTTAGTTCGCAAGTCAACGCTATTTTTCGCATACAGTTAAAAATTTCCTGTTTGATGCCACTCTGTGTTATTTTTATTGCGTTAGGTCAACCTAAAGGACTTGGTTGCTCAAACATTTTGTGTATAATCGACCCAAACCGTAGGCGATTCTGAACCTGCTGAACTTACATACTCAAGTTTTCCTTCAAATTATCAGGAGTTGCAACTTGCGAGAAACAGTAAAAGTGATAATAAATTAAATAATAAGGAAAGATAATAAGGAAAACATTACTCACCTTATGTGAGGCAGGCGAGCTTCAGCCCTTTTTCATGCAATGACTTTGATGGATCAATCTGAAAAAAGAAAATAATTGAATTGAAGAACATGAATGTATAAATAAATATAGAAACAAATGTTTTTGAAATGTTTGTTTGAAAAATATGATTCAGAAGAACGTATTGATTTTCCGAAGTTTACCCGACTGAGGCATCGTGATCAAAGGTGGCATCTGATACATGTTATCACCCAACGATGACCTTCAAGCGAAAAGCTCATGATTGACACAGATTTCAGTCATAAACATTTATTCGAGCTTATTGTTAGTCAAAATCGTGCGGAAAAAAGACGAACTTCACAAGATTTAGGAGACTTGGACGGAAATGTTCCCCTGTCAATACGGCGGGGTAAGGTTGACAAGGAACACGCCGGAATGGGTAGTTCCGATGAAGACAAAATAGGAATAATTATAACGTGGAGAGACCAACACTGGACTAGCAAGTCTTGGCCGGCAACAGAGGTTGCCATTCTCGGTGTGCCTGAAAATGCCCTAATTTTAATGAGCCTAGTCAGTTTACACGGACTTAGTTCTTGCCAAGCGGTCCAAGCCTTGATTTCATACCACGGAATGTTTCGCCTTCTCGGAGGAAGCATACAACACGCGATCCTTCATGTACAAAAAAAATGGTATTGCTGATGCACTTTCCATTGCTTTCATACCGGCACACGACGCTGAAATTTCGAAACCACGTACCTCGATTTTGGTGTTTCAAAATCCCTTCTTTAATTTCATTTCCTCCACGGAAATCGAATCAATATTATTCTCTGAAATTTTCAACAGTCATTCTTCAAACTGTAAGGAAAATTCACGAGGAACAAGGTGCGATAGCTATGCTCTACACAAATAGGGCTGTCCCCGAACCGATGAAATCGCTCGTTGGTTCGTACGAAACGATCGAGCGATCATTTTGTAATCGTTCACTTCGAAATAATCGTTTCGAAAGCCTGTTTCGATCGGAATCTGTTTCGATCGAGCCTGCTCGATCGAAATTTGCTCGATCGAAATCCGTTTTGAAATATTTTTTTTTTATTTTTTTTATTTTTTTTTATTTTTTTTTTATTTTTTTTTTATTTTTATTGAGTAAAAATGTACTACTGGCCCTTACGGGGCATTAATTACGGGGAGTTAATGTTCGAATAAAGCTTATCTTAAAAACTAATGTTATAAAATTTTGTTTTTAATTTTTTTTTTTTTTTATTTTGAACCAATTACATTTTTTCGATTCGAGCAATCTCATTAGGATCCCCGTGGGAGTTTCATGCACCGCTGATGAAAGCTCTAAAACGTCTCCCGAAGAAAGTTCACGGGATAAGGGATCCCTGGCTAAAGTCTTCCCAGTAAAATTTTTTTGGAAGGAACAAGACCAGGTTCCACATATTTTTACGCGGTGATTACCTACTTGTATATTAAAAAAGCCAAAACGGGTAATGCTCGAAAAAAAACAGGAACCCTTCTACCCGTTTTGTAACTTTCTCGGGAATCTTTGATCCCTTATCGGTTGAAAGTACTTTCGATGGATGTATGATGCTNGATCGAGCAGTTCGATCGAGCAGTTCGATCGAGCAGTTTCGATCGAAACAGGTCTTCGAACGATCATCGAAATAATCGATCGATCGATCGATCGGTTCGGGGACAGGCCTATACACAAATAAAAATTTATAGAATGTCTACAATACAGTGAACCGATCTAAGAGGTTTGAGAACAACACCGTGTATATTACGCCTTCCTACGAAAAGATATACCACATACGCTCCCCTGAGTTAGAACAGTGGTATATCGTTGTGGGTGGGAGGTGCACTTCACACCGACATATTTCGCCTTCCTTCGAGGAGATATACCACACGCGCTCCCCCGCGTTTGATAAAGGGTTTAATGGTAGATGCAATGGGAGGGTAGCAAGACCGCCCAAGAACTAGCTAAAATTCATTAAAAACTGTGATAACTCATTTGCGCGTAAAATTTTCGACAACTCCGCGGTCAATGGGCCGACACTCGGAAAGACGACTGTTTTTATTTATTTATTTATTTTATTTTTCTTCGTTTGAGTGCAGGTGAGTTTTAACCATTTTTTTATACATTTTACCGTAGATAAAAAATCCGTTCTACTCCATGCAGGCATATTTTGTCTTCCTTCGAGGAAGTATACTACACGCGCTCCCAACGGGTTAAAATAGTGGTATCAATGTAAATTCAAGATTTACATAGACGATTGTTTTTAATTTTTCGATATACATTTTACGGTAGATGGAAAATCCGTTTTACTCCATGCATGCACATGCCGCCTTCCTTCGAGGAGGTATGCTACACGCGCTCCCACGTGTTAAAATAGTGGTATCATTGTAGATTCAAGATTTACATAGTTGAAGTCTTCGTTCGTTTTCTTGGCCTTCGGTGCATCGAGCCTCTCTTTATCGAGACTGAGATCCGGCAACGTGGGCGAGCATAGAAAAGGAAACTTTTGCACGTTTAATTGACACGACTCGGAGCTCGAGGGAGCGGTGGGCGGGGCGGGGCGACGAAATAATTATCATCGAGATGAAAGTGTGATTCGTCGTCGACGGTCGAAGGAAGGAGCGAGGTGACGCGAAAGAGGAAACGATAACTTGCCACTCGACGTCTATCTCCGTGCTGTCAGATTTTAGCTCGAAACGCGCCACCCGCGCCACATCCACCGTTTTTGCAATGAGTCACGACTAACGTCCTTTTATACCCAGAGTTACGACAACTCAATTCTGGTTGGCTCTTAAAGTGGCCTAAAAAAATTCTGATTGGTTCTCGCTCATGGAGTCACAAAAGAGTGCACCAAGATGGCGGTGGCTCGAAAGGAAGCAAAAATAATGAAAATATAACCTAATTGTGATTTATCAAGGGTAAATTGTTGTTTTCATCGCACCAAAATGAAAATAGATTGAGAAATTATTCACGAATCAATATCATTTTATTATATTGCAATTTCTTTGGAAAGGTATAGATCAGTTTAGTTGATGCTGTTGTTTTTGGATGGCAAGCATCGCAGGATTCCTTATCCTTATCCCTCAGTATCGTTCGTTTGGGTGCACACTTTTGTGACACCATGGTCATTGGCCAGTCCACGACAGCTGATAATCGAGTTGTCTTAACTCTGGGTATATAGGGGCTCTAGTCGAGGCCACGGGTGTGTTCATGGGGTCGTATTTAAAACCGTTCCTGAAACAGCTCCTTTCTTTAGAAAACCCCACGAGGTTAAAGTTTTGACAAAAGGAGGTTTACGGAGACTCTTGTAACATAGCATCATGAAGAGGACGGTGAGTCACTAAACCTTGTTTTTTTTATTGAATATTCCGAATGTACCAGATGTGCTGATTACGTCGTCATCTTCCGGCCAAAATATCAAAAGTGCCATGCGACGTTTCAAAGTTTCCGCCGCCATTTTATTATTTTACAGAAAAAATATTCAACGAAGCTGTCCGGCAATTTCACTGAATTTTCTTAGTGCTGCCGATAAAATTCAGTGAGATTTTCAAACAGATTCAACTGAATAACTTCGGAAACACATCGCACTTCGACTGTTCCCGGCTATCTCAACTATTTTGGCTGCAATTGGCTTTTTCCGGCTGTCTCTGGTTGTTTCCGCTAATTTTTGCTTAGGTTCGGATGACGCTGCCATCGGGATACCCGTCAATGACGTCATAATAGAAAACTGAGATATTTTTTGCATATCTTAATACCATAATCTCCATACTTTACAAAAATATTTCCGTAAAAAATTTATAATTGTTTCTGAGTGAATGATCCAAAGTGCCAACTTGTTCATACTCTTCTTCTGCTTCTGTCAGCGACTGAGCCTCACAAACGATCGTTGGATCGTTAGGAAGAGTATAATCTCTTTACGCCCGGACCCTAAACACAGTAACTTTCCTCTCTATCGGCTACAATAGTCCAATTGACAAACTCGAGGCCGCAAAGCATTTCAGGTCCACTGCGGAACCATTGTCGGGCCTCGAATGGGGAACGCTCGACTAAAAAGATAATGTGCGCCCTGTTAGTACAATTACCCGAACCTTGCGGTGAGTTCGGTAATTAGATTGCGCAGTTAACGAGCCCTTGCATCTAGCGCAATATCCATTTAACAGCCTTGTTTATTGTCTGATAACGGTTTGAACTCGGGCTAACTCCGGCCTGCGTTTGAGAGCATCTAAACCTCGCTGCTCTTTATTTGGGTTGATAAAGGATCTATCCGATCCAAAGATTTCCTCTCTCCTCTGTACAGGCACACAGTGGAGAGAGTCAATAAGGGAAATTGGACATGGTTCGGAAACTTAAAATGCTTATACACTTCATCAATACGGAATGTATAAGTTTAATAGTAAATTCATTGCGTTCCCCATGTATAAGATTTCCCCCTGGATGTAACTCCTGAAATGTATAACAGGACATTATAAATTTCAAAATGTAAAGCTTTTGTCGACAATTTCTTTGGAGGGG